ACATCGACTTCATGTCAGTAATCAATTCACCATTATCAGCTTATCCGAGCCTGGTATAAATTACCAGCGAGACAAAGGCATTTTAAACACTTTGAAAGATTCCAAAGCTGAATTAACCACATGGGTAAGGAATAACGGCATATAGAACGGCGTCAACAGCTTCTCAATCTCCGCCTTCTCCCACTTTCCAAGTCGCCCGGTCACCGCCCCCCAGTTAAAAACGCTATATTTCCCCCTCTTTATTCTCTATATTCTACCTCCATACCTCATTGCTTCTAATCCCTAAATCTTTTCATTCCTCTCACAATCTACATTAATGAACATCATTACTTTTCTGTGTACCCCTGAACGAAATTGTTTATTAAAATATACAAAATATTAGTGACGTTCCAGACAAAATAATACTTGTAGCTATGTTGTACATCAGGATCTTTACTACAATAATTTGGCTATAACAAATTGATGTTAAGATACGCAGCACTCTTTGTATTGTTCCTTAGTACTGCCAGTATTGTGTTTAAAATTACTGTTGTTATTTGTGCTTACAGTTGTATTGTGCTTCTTTGGTGTTAAAATATTGTATATTTATGTAAAACTACGTAAATAAACGTAGCTTTCTCGCTAACGTTCCCAAAATAACTTCACTTTTTCGCCTACTTCTTCGTCCTTTTCTTCGGCTTCTTTTCTCTTCCTCTTCTCCAAATTTTATCATTTTTAATTTTAGACCCCTTCCCCTGACGTCCTCTTCTTTTCTCTTTTACGAAACTTTCCTTTCACTACTATGTACAACTTCACTAGTACTATTAATGTTCGGCCAAGCCGCCATCCTGATTTGAGGTTTTTCTGGGTTTTACTCATCGCTTAATAGGCGCATGCCGGATGGTCCTAGGTTTATTCTCCCAGACGTAAATGTACAGCTTGTCATCCTCTTTAAAATGTTACTAATTCTAAATGTATGTAAATTCAGTGAGTTAAGTGGCGGAAGAGCAGGCCCTATGGCCCTGAGCCCGCCATTAATAAAGACATTATTATATTATTATTATTATTATTATTATTATTATTATTATGTATGTATTTATTTTTGTAATCTTCAAAAGAGCGTATAAACCGTATGTATATATGAAATGTATTTGGCATTATATGCCTGTTGGATAATTAATAATAATAATAAATAAAAAACAACAAAAAAACAAAAACAAATACAAGACTACTGTTGAGAATCATTTAAATGTTGGAATTGTTTGTAATTGTCAAAATATGAGCAGCAAGCAATTTAAAATTATTAAATATTTTTAAACATTACAATTATTTTATACTTGTACACCAAGCTTAATCTTTAGAAAAAGTAATTGAGCAAAACCTGTTTATAAGAGGCACCTGGGGGAATAGAAGTATGTCTCTTAAAAGCGGAACGCTTGTATGAGGGGAAAAGGGTTTTTGACTTCTTTAATGAAATGTTACCATATTTTTAATGTATTAGTGGGATTTGTACACTATTTTAAACTTGAGATAACAAATTACTAGGTACCAGAGCCCATTTAGCCAGATCTTTTGAGTTTCAATGCCCAGCAAAATCCTGTTGTAAGATGAGATAATACACGTTATTCTTTCTATGAATAACTCCAGCCTCCTCCTGCAAAATGTTCCAATGAGCAGCGACATCTACACCTCTGTACTGATCAAACAACTCTAAAAGAATATTTTCCATTTCCTTGAATGGTGAAAACCAAATTTTCTTCAGTGTACCCAGTTTCCCAACAGCATTGAGGATTTCCTCTCACTACTGGATAATCTTTCTGAGTGACGAAACTGGTATCTTCAGTGTTCACCACAGCTCTCCAAAATTTCCCTTCAGACTTATCAACTTCTTTATATCCAAATTCTCGGCTAACGACTAAAATCTTTGTTTCAATGCCATCACCCACAGATCCGTAGAAGGCAAAAACAAAATAAAACCTGAGCATTTAACCTCGCACACGTAATACTAACAAGTGCAAGATTGTCGACATAGCGATTGAACTGATTAAAGACACTAGAGTAAAATGAAATTTTGTGAACACTGGCAGAAAACGGCCCCACAGGACTAAAAACAATTGGAAACACTTAGGCTTCCTTCTTGGCAAGAGAGAGAGAAAGCTCGCAAAAGGAGCTTTCCTGAAGCATCCCCTATCTTCCCTCCCACCTGGTGGAATGGTTGTTGCAAAACCCCCCTCCAATCTATTTAAAGCGTGTGCCCAACCCTTACTAAGCCCATAAAATTCCCCTGAAGTCATCTGGGGTAAAATTTAATGCTGTCTCGTGTACACACCAGAAGAAATGCATGGTGGTGAACACAACCTGGTTTTCAATAGGCGGGTCTTCGAAATGCAGGAAATAAACACATTGTTTATATAAAACTGACCCCAAGACCTTGAATTTTATCTCCACTAAGTGGGATATACCAGGATCTCTTACAACACTGTTTTGCTACATTGTCTCAGTATAGTATGTTTCCAATTATCTTTTGTAAGAGCCAGTGTTCTGTTCATGATCTTGTTTAGTACACAGAATATAAAATCTTTGGACGAGGATACATGACACTATCAAATGCGAAAACATACAAATAAATTGTTAATTTTAATTGTTTGTTGAAGTGAAAATTTTGAATGTTGAAATGCATAGTGCATATTGTATCGTAATCTCTCTTTCATTTTGTACTTAATGTTAAAATCTTTTAAAATACACATCACTTTTAGGGACGTACATCACATTTTTAGGGACATGTGCAATGTATAAGCTGATTTTAATAGCGATTATTATAATAGACAATATATTGATTTACATATGTTTATTCAGCATCAAATTAATTAGAACTACCTTTATTTTTGTGGCAATTGTCTTGTTTGTATCATTTCAACTTTCTTTTTCATCTTCAATTTTACAGTTGAGCTGTGTATTTAAATGTGAAAATGACTTAAAAGTGAGATTATTATTTAAATACATTTCAAAACAATTTTAGGATAGTGATTCCCAAACATTTTAGGATAGTGATTCTGTGAGAATTGTTCTTGATGTGGGTTGATGTCTTCAAGTGGCAGTATATTGATAGGATTCAAGTTTCCTTTCTAAGTTTGAATGAAATTACAAAAATATACTGAAGGCTGCTTCTGAAACCCTCAACTCACAATTCCAGCTAGAAAGCTCAGGCTATCTGAAAATTTGACATTATCGTGAAATTCATTTGATAATGGATTCTTCTAAAACTTTATAACAACCCTTTATTTAAACTATTTCCAATAAGCAGAAAACTGAAAATTTGTATCAGTGTCCTAAGAAAAGTATTGGTGTATTTGTGTTTCTGTCATGACCAACATACATATTATATGGAGTTAATGGCAAGCTGAACAATAGATGCTGTCGCTCTCGGTACTGCTATAAGAAGAAATATGTATGATTTTTTCAATTAAATATTAGTATTTTGTAATATTAAATAATGACATTCCATTTTCTGCCCTATTATATTTAAATGTGCATACCAGCACACTTTTACTTTAGTTTTCCCCTGTTCCTTAAGATGAAAGCAGAATTGCCACACATTTAATCTCAGGGAAAGATGAATCAATTGAAATTTAACAATTTTTGCAGTGTTTAATAGCTGAAGGTGATGCAAGTAAAATAAAGGCTATAAGAAGGGGGGGTCCGCCCCCTCTAATAATATTCAACATGTGTAATGTAAATTACTTTGAAAACTGTAAATCCTCAAACTGACTTTGTTAAATACTCGTTTTAATTTATGAGAACATTTTATTTTTGCTGCTATCGTCGTCGTAGTCATCGTCATCATCAACAATTGTTTTTAATAATCAAGAAGTCACATTAAAAGACTTTTAAAAATTTGTAATTGGATGTGTGTATCCAGTGAAGGACTAAGTTTAGTTCACATAGTACTAGTAAGTAAATATTTAATCTGCTTGTGCCGTAATTCATCCGGTTTTATTTAGACTACATGTTACAGTCAACCCCAGTTCTAGTGAACTTTGATATAGTGAACACTTTGTTACAGTGAACTTAAGTCACTGGTCCAGATTCACTTACATTACAAATAATTATAAGAAGATTTGGTTATAGTGAACCTTGGTTTTAGAAATTAGAACGACCTGAACTTATTTCCCTTCTTGAAAAAAATATATCACCTAAATGCCACAAATTCCAACTTTATGCAGCCAAAGAAATAAAACAAAAATAGCCAAAGGCCATAATTAAAGAACTCTCCCCTGAGGTGAAGGTAGAGACCCCAGAATGGGGACCTTACTGAAGACCTCGTGCTATTCATTGCAGAAACAACGGTCATATCCTGTATGTTGTACAACTCATAATGGCAACATGCGATTACTTGATCAGTTTCAAGCATGTTATTTCATGGAACAAGGCATGTTATGTTTTACATAGGTGACAGGAAGCATACAACTGCCACAGCCCAGTAATACCTGCCATGCCATGCAGAAAATTGATCAGTTTCAGTCACCAACGCCACCCTGCTTCCAAAACTGCATTGAATGTTATTAGGCGAGGAAAGGGACTTAAAAGAGTGGGTCTTCTTCTGAGCAATATGCCCTGAAGGGTGTCAAGCCTGTATTAAGACAAAGAGAGTGAACAATACAGAATCAAATATGAAGACAGCGTAAACAATGGAAAAGCTTCTAGAGAAATTACTAATGAAGCATATACAAGGCATACAATTGAATATAATTGATTTTTTAAGGACAAAACAAGAAATTAAAATTTCCAGTTCATGCTGTTATTGAATTTTGCTGTATGTATATGTTAATAAAATAAATAATTGTGGAGAAATTCCATTTCATTTTGACATTATTATATCAGAGGTTCATGATGTTCAGTGAACCAACTAGTTTACTCCCTACAAGTTCACTGTAACTGGCGTCAACTGTAATTTTGAAGGTTGCGCCTTCTTGACGAGACAATGAGTATAGGTCGCACTGTGAGTGTGGAATAGAACTTACCAACACCTGTGTAAGATGCACCATCTACCGTAACACATAAGGTGAAAATTAAATTTGGTGGAAGCCCCTCTCGGCTGACCTCTTTGAATTCAACTCCCGGTCGTAATTGATTTAACAGCATTACGGGATGCCTCTCAGTGGGATTGTCTGGAATTTTCTTCATTGGTGCTGGAGCAGTAGGTTTCACAGGCTGAAAACAAGCTCAATATCAGGTCAATGGAGGGTGAAAAGAGTGAATTAATTGCAATGCAAGTTGTTATGCTAGTTATGCAACAACAGCACATACTTTCTAGCATTAATGATAACTTATGCAATATAACATTGGAACTATCAACCTGCTAACACTTCAACTATCATTTGAAACTACGCATTTAAAACACATTTTCCTCTTTTTAGTTTTTTCCCACAGATTTAAATGAAAATAGCTTCCTGCTCATAAATTAAGTGGGCGCTATTGTCACAAAAAGGGATTGTGCAATATTCTTACTAATGTTTAATTAGAGTTCTTGTTTGTAGATTCTACACGCACCAGCTTTTTGCCATATTTACTACTCGCCACAAGTCTATGTGGGTGGGATTTGTACAATATTTTTGCTTTGACCATGACATTTCACCAATCGCTGACTTTCATGCAAGTTCCTGCACTAATGCAGCACACAAAAACATCACTAATTAATTAGTTGCCTATTAAGTTATAACAAATTTTGAAATACACATATGCATTCACCCTGCATTAACATGCTGGATATTTTTCACAATTATCAGAAAAACAAAGCTACTATTGTGCATAAAAACAACGTTTTCTTCAGTGTTTCATTAGATAACATTTATGTGTAATGTAATATGAAAAATATTTGTAATAATTCATTGAAATAATCATTTTAAACTGTTGTTTCTGGCTTTATTTCTTGTTTTAATTTATATTCGAAAAATCTTCTCTACTGACGCAAACACAAAAGTTGATATGTCAAATGGAAAAAGAAGATTGTTTACAATGAAAAAAAGAATATAGATTGCTTCGGGAGATGTGCACCTTTAATTAAATATTTAAAAATCTTATGGTCTGGAATGGAAGAAAGGAGGTTAGAGGGTATCACCTGAATCTTTAAATGACAAAGCGCAAACAAAAATATTTATGAAGATGGGGATCAACACTGCTTGTCTTTGAACAGCACATTTATTTCACCTCTATTTCCAGGCCATACCTAGATGTTGAGCGATTTTCCCCTGGAGGCAGGATGCCATGTGGAGACGGAAGGTTGCCTCAATACTTTACAGAGCTTAATATATGCTACATGACAACCCTAGCGTTGACATATACCACTTCCATTTTCCCTTAGTTCAATTACAAATAAGCCCAATTTTTCTAAAGAAAGGATTAAGGAAACTTTACTTTGGGTCACTAAGGGCACACTTTGAAGAGAAAAATAAGAAGGAAAAAAGACAATTTCGAAGAAGAGGATAAGAAAAAAGGGTTATTTGTGAAGGGTTCAATAAACATAATCTGCACATCTGCAATTTAGAAAAAGTCACGAATATGAATGATTGGAGTAAACAATTGCATCTGACCTGCAACATTACATGTATCTGAGGGGAACGGATCTATTCAAGGAAAACAGAGAAAAAATTTGGAGCCATTACTGAGAAAATTTCAGAAATGACAGCGAGAATTTTTTCATCTCCCAACTGATGTCCCCTGCAAATCATCTTTCTCTTAGGAAGAAATTATGACAGTCGATCCTAAATAAGACAACTGTTACATCTTTTTTTTTTGTTGGCACTTCTCATAAATACAGCTGAAAATAATGCCATGACATATCACTTGCAACAGGAGCTCAGAAAGCATTGGGGCTTTTTAACACAATGTATCCCACAGATATCACGCAGCGCAGCTATCAAGTTTCAACATGCTCAACAAAAGAATAAGAATAGAAGGCAGGAATACATGCAATATCAGACAACTAATGCATTGCAATAATTCAGGAACATAAAATTGCCGTGCCTTGGATATCACACATCTATTGGAAGCACTCCCGGGTTAAGTATAAATTTCCCCCTCAAAATGTGACAACTGTCAACCGTTCCATTACTCGATTCTCAGGTATTTCAGACATATAGGTCAAATTTGTAATGTGCAATGTTTTCAATCCTGTAAAGCCATACCAGGCAACACATGAATACTTCATAAAGTTTTTTCAGGCAACAGGTAAACATTTAACAGAACCATAATGAGCAAACAGTTCACAAAGTTGTACCAAGCAACAAGCAAACATGTTCTCTAAATCATACCAAGCAACATGCAAACATTTCACAGAGCCGTGCCGGATACAATTCAAACTTTTCACAAAGCTGTGCCAGGCATCACAAAAACATTTTGCGAAGCCGGGGCTAGCACAAACTTTTCTCAAAGACTTCCCCAGCAACTCACAACCATTAAGCAAAGCCGTAGGGTCATTGGTGGTCACTAGTATAATTAACCTTGCTCTGTATGATTTTGTTCAGTCTCCACAGTTCCTATCAAGTTCCAACGGAAGGATGACCAGGCCTTCCCTACCAAGTCTCAACAACCTGAACACTGAACAGAATAGGACAACTTGGGATCCCTAGAATGATGTAATCTTTCTTGCTTACCGGTTGTCTATGTCAAAATGTTCATAGTCCTGACTTATTACGGATTTATAAGCACAAAAATCAAATGAACATAAAATTCTTATTTAAAATAACTTAACATGGGAAATATAGGAATTTAGCTGGGACTTATAAACAACATAGCATAAATATGAAAAACAAATGGAGTTTTACTGTGATTGGTTAGTTGGCTTAAATTGCAGTATTACAAGCTAATAAGAAAAATGGTATACAGCCCAATAATGTAAGGATCAATGTATACCAATGCAATGTGGGGAAAAAAATTGAAGCGCTATACATGCATTGGGAAAAAGTTGTTGCACTATTTTACTCACTTGACTTGGAGAGCCGGCAGGTGTCTTGGTAATAGGGACATGAGTTCCTTGACTTTGCCATTCTGTGAATAACTTGTACAGAGCAAAAGAAGCCAAACTTCCCCAAGGAACATCATCTTCTGGGGCAACTGGTTTTCCTACTTCTGATGTTCCATCAACACTGTCAGCATCTCCAATAGTACTGCTGGAATCTTGCACCATTGGCTCTGAAGTATCAGCACCTTCATTAATAACTTTAATTGCAGCATCTGCCATTTTTTGCAACAATAAATCCTTTAGTGCATTTTCTGCTGCATTTTGCTTTGCTAATGGCTTAGATAAACCTTGGCCAGTGTAAGTTTTACCATCAACCTGAAAATTTAAGTAGTTTTTAAAAACTAATTACACAATGAGATATTTGCATGTAACTAAACATTAAGTATTAAACATCCTAATATTCTTTCAATATGTTTTCCAATGAGATTTCTGCTTCCAGGAGTGCATGTTTTATTATACCAATACAGTAAATGCTTACAAAATTGTTTTATGAAGTTTCATTACCTGATCAAAACATTTGCATTTCCCTCCCTCTGCAAGATTAAAATACTAAGGGAAGTTTCTAAAAATTATTAGTGATTAATTCAAATATAGTAGAACCCTGTTATAAGAGGCATCTGGGGAAGCTTTTTTTGCCTGACATGCAGGAACACGCGTAGGAAACACCAGAATAAATTTACTGTACCTTTACATAAGATTATACGTACCATTGGGCATTAACTTTCTTTTTAAAACCCTCACAATTGTAATTTTCAAAAGAATACTCTTATTTCAAAGAGTCATGGCATCAGGGCAATTACATTTCTTTTATTTATATGTCCTTATAAAATACTAGTGCTCCAGATTATACCTTAATGTATTCAAATTTGTACGCATGATTGTTCTCTTCCTAGGTCCCAGTTTTATGGTTTCTCACATTAAAGTATTTAGAAGTTTCCAGTTACACAAGGGTAATCAGATGGACTCAGAGCATCCACCTACCTAATCCCTGTTTTGTGGAAATTGTGATCTTGTTTTGGGAGTGAAGTTTGCTAGCGTCATTAATAGAATTCTGTAATTGCTTCATGAAGCCATGGAAGTAAGCAAATAGAGACTAAGTGGATTCCTGATCAGGTGATCTGCTGTGAAACTCCGGGATCTAACAGTGCTGAGCTAGTAGCCGAAGGGACAATAATAAATATTAAAAAGGTTTTAATATAACATATATTAAAACAGTTTTTCAAAATGTATTTATTTTTACAGGGTTGTCAAAACACTATAAATAAGTTAACAGCATTATGTTGAATTTGATGGCCACTCATTATTTTACAAAAAGGATGAGGCCTTAGATGGGAGGGGAATCTTACTTGTGGGAGTCTGCAAGTGACAGATCAAAATTTGTTTTCTAACCTTAAGAGGAAAGTTACGCAAGTTAGAGCCTGGAAGTTTGGCAAAATGTCTTATTAATATTATTATCATCATTATTATTATAATTATATTTATGATTGTATGACTTAACAATAAGCATCACTTAATTGTACTTCTGGAATTTTAGGTTTTCATTTTGTGTATTCTAGCTTAAAAATGTAAGAGAAAGGAAGATGATAGAAGTGAAGAATTTTGATATTATTTATTGAAACTTTGAAACCTGTTCAATCACAAGGAATTTCATCATATGTTTCCGTATGGCCTTGGATCCTTTTGAGGGCAGATCTGTGTGTCCATGTCTTTTTCAGTTCCTTCTTGTTCTTTCTTCCCTTTTGGTGATTACACAAGTAAAAAACAAAATCTACAATTCCGTATTCACCGATTCCATTTCAAGATTCAAATGGGACCATTTCGTAAAGGCAGAGTCGTGAGTAAAATAAATTCATAGTCTTCATACCAGATGGCCTCGTGCAATCATGATTTCAAAGAAGATAGATTTTTACCATGTGAGTGTTAATGCCAATTTTAGAGTTAAAATAAAAATGAGAATCCTTTTAATTATTAAATGTTTTACACTAGTTACTTTTGTAACGGTTCCTGTATTTTAACCCTTACTTTAGCCAGAATAAATGCCTTTTTTGTATGCTTATTTTAGTAGAAATAAATGCCTTTTTACCGGTGTTTTATGTAAAATAAATGCAGGAACTTCTGGATTCTAATTATGATTGAGAAATGCCTGCATCAAAGGAGATGGCCTCCGATACTACCGCCATAGTTTTAGGGATTTAGTTAAAAGCATTGGAAAATTCGTCTTATATTATCTGATTGCCATTTCTTGTTCCATGAACTCAAACCACATTCACCTTCCAAATTTTCAAATGTGAAACTTCATTGGTCTGCTGAAAGAACATGCAATGTCAACCGAATCCAAAACACCATCAGGTATTTTTTTTCAATTTTAATGGGCAGGATTTTGCATTTTGCAGATCACTTTGTTTAGAAAAACAATACTTGTAAATAGACACACTCATTTCCCACTTTTACAAATGAAATAAACCTATATTTATCTATTACAATATTTGCAACATGAAATACAAAAAAGCACGAATGATTTCACACACACTTGTCTTGATGACATAGCAGTGAGCTTCCAATTCTTGAAAACCATAATCAGCAATCAAAACTTTTTAAGCAAAAGAAGTAGAATATTTACTTCTAAGTTAAATCTATTACCTCCCTTAAATCTATATCCATTCATTAGAGTATTATCTACATCATTCTATTATCACATCTGGGAAAAAATGACTAACATTCTTAGAATTTTCAACAGCCACATTGCCATTTTGCAAAGTAAGAGCATGTTGAACATAGTCCATGAAATATGAATTTGCAATTTCAATTTCATTATCAAAAATACAGAGTTTGTCAAAAATGGGACCCAGCACCACTTTCTTAAACAGTCTTTGTTACAAACCATGAAAAAAATTGGAGCCATTATTGAAAAAAAAATAATAATGATAATGATAATAATAATAATAATAATAATAATAATGTTTAAAAATGGCATATATTTCATGCAAATACTACTCATTTTTGAAAAATTGTACTTAATGCTTTTTAAAGATGTAATAAATTACTTGTTTTCTAATAAAAAATTCAGTTTTTCCATGCAGTATTACAAAACTGTACTGTGTAAACAGTAGAAAGAAAGTAATATATGTGCGACATTGGCAGGACCTAAGTTTTGGGTAGAAGAAATTACTGCTGACAAAAAACAAATCATAAAACAAATGTCTTCCATGATGAGATTGCCACATGCAGGTTGAATCTGCATCACTTGTGGGTTTGTTGGAATATCACTTAGCAATAAATAGTAAAAATCTAAGATAAGACAACCTGTCCTTAATTGTTGGTGTAAAGAAATTCAGTCCCACTGTGGTCATATGGCTATATAACTTTCTTAGTGTAATTATACTTCTTGACTAATTTTAACCAATAACTATGATTTCTATTCATTTCTATTACTCAATTGAAACATTTAAGAAACAGATCAAAGATATACGTTTCTGTGGTCGCAGGGTAAAAGCACTGTAGTCAAAAATCTTAGTTTGGAGAAAACAGGTTAGAGTATTGAGTCGCAATTTCTCAACGCTTTGTCATGAAGGAGGCAACATTTGAATTTGGTAGTTTTACTAAAATAAAATATTGATACTTAACTTATAGTTTCAGTACTTAATCCAATTTCACCAAAAATTTACTTAAAACCTTATCCCATAACCACAGATTTGTTCTGTGGGTTTCTAGAGTTATTTTCTCTTTAGTGCATGTTCAAATGTTATTAATGGCACTGAAGGGTCCAAATTTTTGTTGAATTTCTCAGATAAATAAATCTTCTGTACTGTACTGTAAACGAACCCTATCATAATATATGGATTTATGTAAAAGCTTGGAAAATATTTGAATGAGAAATGAGTTGTTGCCACATCACTACTATGGGCACATACAGCATACATAACCTACAAAGAGTTTCATTCATTTCTATGGTAACTGATTAGGAATTGATATATACCAATTTGAAGCAAACATGTTTTTTTAATTACAATGTAGGCATGAATAAATGTCAAATAAATCCAATGACTTGATATCTTCTTCGCTGTAGCAACGACTTACACATCAGTCTGTTTTCCGGTCAAGATGATAAAGCTGTCATTACTACAGAAACGTTGAATCTATACAATGCTGAACAAAAATAATGAAATTGTCAAATGCCCATTAACAAGCTACATACGAGACGGATATTATGATAAAAGAATAATAGACACCGGACACAATTCTTATTACTGTAAAAATTAGCAAAATGACGAAGTAAACATTGTCAGATCGCTTTTCAAGGACTAAATGTTTATAAGTTGTGTGAGGGTATATATTACAAAACTAACGAACTGATTTTTAATTGGCTTAGCAAAAATAGGTAAGTTTTACAGTATTTATTTCTCGAAGAGCTTAATACATAAAGTTATCTGTGTGCCCACTGTAGCTACATGGCAACATTTCATAAAAAATGAACTAATATGCGGAAAATGTTAAAAACTTTTTAAGTCTTCTGATGTTCCCCTATATCAATATCGAATGCTTGAAAGAACTCTTGAAAAAGAAAGCAAACTTACCTAGCTTTGTGCATGGCAAATAAAGCAAATGAGTCAACCCTTTACTGTGAAGGAAAAATTGTTGTTTTGAATTCTGAACTTTGTATTTCATGGAAAAACCTCTAGAAGCAATATTCCATTTACTAGAGGTCTCTCATAAGTATATCTCTTACATGTGGGAAGAACATGACCATATTTTTAACCAGGGGCCCAAATGACCACTGTCACAAATAAAGAGTTATAACAGGGTTCTACTTCGCTTTCAATTTCAACACGTATGTCTAAACCTAATACATACTCGTAAGAATCCCTTATGTGACGTTTGATGAACATAAATAGGGAAGTCCCCACACACAAATCTATTATGCTTTATTTATCTTTCGCTTTAGGAACTTAATATTCCAATTTTCAATTTTAATTTATTACAACCAAATACCATATGTGTACTGTACTTCTCTGCATTTCTTGAGAGAAGTTATTTAACTTGTGAGAACTAATACAACATTAGTACAAAATACTGAAGTTATGGCTTTCTTTTTTCCTTCTCCTTCTCTTTCTTTCAGCTAAAGTAAGTTAGCATATCTTGTAATTACCTCAGCATTAACCACAAACATAGTTTGCGTTAAAGCATTTGTGTGCTCCTGGAATGTAAATTTAATGCCAGTTTTCAGTTCGTTAAGAACCATAATGGCATTCTTAGGCTGTAGAATCTTCCTCAGACGAGCATTCTGACGACGACGTTTCAATTTTTTGTTAACCTTAACTGACGGTGAAAAAAATATTAACACATGTTCCTAAATTAGTAACTGAAAATTAAACACACACGCTGTATAGGACTGTCAGTAAAAAATAACAACAAAACTACAAAGGAGACTGCGTGTGCTCCACTGAAAATAAATAAAAAATGTAATAACAAGGATACAAAAATGAATTTAAAAAGGTACTTACAACCAGGCACTTTTTTCTTCAACCACGGCTTGGCTTTTGTCTCAACTTCATCATCATTATCAATATCCACTTTCATTTCGAGGGTAGTATCCTGATTTCTACCAGTAACAGGAACAGAAATATCAGATAAAACTGGTGGAGGGGGTGGTGCAGGAAGGGAAGATAACTGAGAAGTCTCTTCATTTACTGATCTTTGCTCATGTTTCACAAGTGGTTGCTGCTGCTGTTTCTGAAGATTCTGCTGCTGCTGCTGCTGTTGTTGTGGCTGCTGATGTTGCTGTTGCTGCTGCTGCGGCTGCTGTGTTTGATGCTGCAAGCACAGCCAGCAGGGGGATATACCCACACAAACACTTCACCGGATTTTGCACTCGGGCATAGACCAGAATGCCAGCCAAAATGCATAGGATACTGCTGCTTAAGATTCCGCTTCGTTAAGTTACTTAAGACAGTTCATTTACCCAAAAGAAAGTGAAAGTAGCCAACAAACCAGTTCAGGTGGAAAATGATTGCAAAAAAAACAAAGTATTAGGATTTTTAAAAAATCATAATAAAAAGATGTGTGCTGCAAATTTACCATAAAAAAGTAATCTATTCTTAAGCTGAGTATTTTAGAAATTAAAAAAGTATAATTTGGAACACCAAATATAATAAACTTAATTGCTCCAAAAAAATCCTTGAAATTCAAATTGTCATAACCGATTTGTTTTAAAATTTTAATTTTCACAATATGGAGTTTATAGTCTATTTATTTGTATTACCTAATTAACAAACTTAAACTGTCAGTAATCTTCAATTTGACCAAGTATAATCCTTTAATATAACATAACAGTTTTAAGAACATTTAGGCTCCATTTCATAATTTGTAACGAGCACCTCAAATTTCACAATGTTATAGATGTGATTTTTTTAATTTGAAAAGATTTTTCAAACAAACATTTTGAGAATTGTAGTATAAACTATAAGTGGGCTAAACTCATTCTCCAAATCATATTACGCAAATACTATTTTAATTTACTGAAAGTTCACAAATTCAGGAACTAGATATGCCATCTTTTGGCAATGAACTTTCCATACAGTCATGTAAAATCAAGTGCACAGTTTTGTTATAAAACAAGATTTTTCTGATTTCCTCCTTAATGCCTGAAATCCAATAATTATTGTTTTTCTGAAGCTCTCCGAGGAGTTTGAAATCATTCTCTGTACAACAATACAACTAAATTCTACTTCCTTAAAATTAAATAGCAATCTGTTTATTTGTACAAAAAATGATGGCTTTTTTGTGTGCTAACAGTTCCTAAATATTCAGCATCTTAAATAAAATTTCGAAAATCTGCTACCTAAAATATTTGGTATTAACTATTTGAAGATAATAAAATCATATGGCTTAGTTCTACAGAACTACATGAATATTTAGTTATTTTAACTACATTCATTTTTTCCAAATCATTGCAAACAAAGAATCCAAAACAAACTCCTATCTAGAGACCTCAATGGACACAGCCAATTCCTCTTTATTTCTCCTGACTGCTATTGGTGATCATCACTTTCTTTTTTGAATAGAAACTATCTTACAGCAACTTAAAGCTAAAACCTATACACAACTGTAATCATTGCTGAGTAGAAAATCATGCCAGCACCAGGCCATTACCAGAGCGCATATCCTCAGCACCAATGCAGTTATCTCAGCCCTGGATGGTTGTAGTGGTGATGGGAAAGAAAGGAGAAGAAACAAAGCATACATATAATTCATGCTGACTTTTCTTAAGTTAACATTCCAGCTGTGAAAAAGAATCAATGCTATAGTAAACAAATTCAATGGACTAACAATTCTTAACAAGCTTGGAAATTGCTCTGTAATAAATCATGTGCAGATAATTTTATTGTGAATAGTCCATCAAATGGATTTAAAACAGAGGAGATTATTTAATTCACTTTCTACTAGTACATATGAGTTTATTATTTTGCAAATTTGTGTAATGATGCTGTCAGTAATATATTATTACTAATTTTATCACAACTCAAATGAACCACTCACCTGCTGAGCATTGTAATTGGAAGACCCACTATTATGAAGAGATGTCTGAGAAATATTCCCTTGGGATGGGGACATAGCACTCATACTGCGTGAATTTCCAAAACTGGGAGATGATCTGTTTGTTCTCTGTTGGTACATCATGGGAGGTGTACCACGTCCTACAACAATCAAGTATGATTGTTATCATTTACAAGTCACAATAAAACAAGATTTAAGCTATCTGAAATTTGAACTGAACTGAAACAACTAAAATTTAATAAAGACAAATAGAGTGAGAAAAAAGTCTTGTTAAAATTTAGATTTTTAAATAGTTTGATTTTATATAATCAATAATTTTGGTTTACAATTTAAAGGTTTGTATAAGAATAAGTTTGGTAGCCTTTTCAGTTTCCAAACCAGGTGTTCCTTGAAATGAATCATGCTCCTCCACAGGAGAAATGGCAATTGCTTTACCACACCACCAAAGTGATGCCTTAGCTGACTAGTATGATACCGACCGATGATAAAGGCTGTGGTTAAGTAATGATCATTTCTTTTTAGAGGTTGCTGAGCTATAAACCAAAAATCTTTTCTTGTATTCATCTTACACATATTTGTTCCACACCCTGAGTTATTCTTTAGTATATTTTTTGAAAACTCTCAATTACTCCAGACAAGTGAAATGTATTTTCCCATTCAGTAGCACTTAACAACGGGATATTTAAGCCGAAACATAGTACCTAATAAAAGAAAACAGTCCAGAGATTCTCAAAACTAATTTATCTATACATGACGCTCTATGGAGTATGAGAATGATAGCTTTAATAAAATTAAACATCGTATTACAATGTTTAAATAAACCAAGGAGAAGAATTCAAGGATGTTATGAAATAAGAAAAATGATGCAGTATGTGCAATAATTATTTAAACATTTTCTGCTGAACAAGCAATGGCAGGTCCTGACCAAAAATTGTGGAATATTACACTAGTGGTGCTATAAGAGCATGGCCTTTCTCGTATTAGTTGGTTTCCTAATTTCTTGAGCCTGGGCTAGCTTTCAGATTTTGCCTTTCCTACACCACCCATCAGTGCCTACACAATGTTTTTAATAATGAATACAAGAGAACTTATACAACTTGAACAAGCATTTGAACTCGCAAACAATGTAAACAAAATATCTGAAATGTAAATATTAACAATGTGAGAGATTTCAAAAATAGTTGAGATAAAACATCACACTTTCTCATCCGTACTTTCATGCGAAATTACATGAAAGGCACTCAAATATTCGAAATAATTGTACATAACCTTATTCCAAAATCAATTTTAAGGAAAAGATGTCATGAAAGGAAAAAGTTAATCTTTAATATTTAGTTGGAAGACTCCAAAAAATTTTTGAACTTCTGCAACTTTTGAAAAATCAGTTTTTAATGAACTTGAGACCTGCACCTTTCTCTTAAACATTCTTCACACTATCCAACAAAAACGATGGGAGCAATTTTCCTGAAAATTTGGAAAATGTTCCATCCAGAGGCTTCATGAAAAGAACCTCCCAAAATTAAAATACCAGTGTCAAAGCCAAGAGGTCGTGACATCAGTCAGATCGACCGGGACATATCTATTTTGGGGAAAATCAGATGAACGGTTTACTCGCTAGTGTTCGCAGGACGGACACTTTTCGACGTCATTCGATTTCTTGGTATCACGGACCCACAAAACACATTCTGGCTATCCCACGTGTTTCATTTTTTTCCTATATTAGCAACTGGATTTATCCACATTTCCGTTACCAGGGCAAGTACTAAGTTTCTGCCGAAAATTCGAATTTTTTTTCGCGTATCTTTACAGAACTTTCTCTAATGTGTAAGCGGCGGCGAGAAAGTAAAAATTACATTTCTGTAATTTTAGAAAAATAAGAATACATGAAAGTGGTGTTGATGTTATCTTGTTTAGCACTAATCAAACAAAAATTAAGGAAACATTTTAGAAAAACAATTTCAAAAAATGCAAAGGACATTTCTTTAAAAACCAATTGTGGAGAACAAATTTCTTTTGAACAAAAAATCACATCTTCAAATGTATAATTGTACAAAGGGGGCCCAAAAAACTGAACTTCTGCAATTTTTGAAAATTCTGAGTCAACAAGAAGTAAGAACAAATGTATTTTACTCTACTCTTGCAAAATTTCAAAAAATTTACTCATTTTGGGAAAAGTTTTAAAATGTCCCCGGGGTTTATCACCCCCAAAACTTCTTTTTAAAATCACAGGACTTCAAGTCAGACCAGACCGATTAGAAAACATTTTGGGAAAAATCATATGTATGGTTTGGGCACTAGTGTTGCTCACAAATGGATCAATGGACATGTTTTCGGAGGTAACACACATGCACTAACACATTTTCTTGGTACGTCATGTAGTACCTTGCTTTCTTGGTAAATTCTTAAAATTGCAAAAGAATTAAAAAAGATTTTCATTTACGAAATTTTTATTGGTTTCTTTCTCAAATACAAGAAATATCACATATTTAAGTAACAAAAATTGGAGTAAGACATACTGATGAAGCGGAAAAGTAATTGATAGTAATGATCAAATATTTCATGGTCGGCAAAGTAGTTTAAATTAAAGATGTTATGAAGAAAAAAGATAAATATTTCCGAAAGTAGAAATCACAGGAACAGAGTGGACGTAGTGAAAATGACGTAAGTCAAGATAAAGAAGTACTAAATGAAAGATGATACAGCAGTGGAAAGAACACCATTATTGAAAATAATGTTCATATGTTCTGTAGTCTTCCATAATATTCCATATCTTAGTAAAAACTCTGATGAATTCTGAAGAGCGAAGAAGAATAAGAAGAGAAGAAGAAAGAAAGAGAAGTAAGAAGAAGAAGAGAAAAGAGGAAGAGAAGAAGAGAGAAGAAGAGAAGGGAAAGAAGAAAGAGAGAAGAAAGAGGAAGAAGAAGAAGATGGAAGAGAAGAAAGAGGAAGAGAAGAAGAGGAAGAAGAATAAGAAGGAAAGAAGAAGAGGAAGAAGAGAGAAGAAGAGAGAGAAGAAGAAGAAAAGAAGAAGAAGAGAAGAAGAAGAAGAAAAAGAAAGAGAAGAATAAAAGAAGAAGGAAGAAGAGGAGAAAGGAAGAAGAAAGAGAAGAAGGGAAGAAGAGGAGAGAAGAAGAGAAAAGAAGAGGAAGAAGAAGAGAAAGAAAAAAAGAAAAAGAAAAGAATGTTTGAAAAGACTGAAGAGAATTGCTTACTTATAAAAACAAAACTTTGGAAATAGTTTAAAATAGATTAAAATAATTTAAAAATTTGTAACTGACAATATTTTTAAAATGCGTACGTGGCATTAACGTAATGAGGGATGATAACTGTAATTAAATATGTTTGATTAAAATGATCCATTACAAGCCTTCCCTCGCGGTGCATGTTTCGCATACACTAACTGCCATGAACGTAGATTACAATATTTTGTTAATAATGAAATACTTATGTCAAACAAAAACAGTCCGTGTGTGTCAAAAGAAAATTGTGAAATGACAAAATTCAGTGCATATGTACTAAAAAATTATTTTTTTTCTTAAATCTCGCTTTTCTTCTTGACCAATTCTTTTCCCACTTATTCAACACCCTGGCCACGTTTACACACTCCACAATTTAAATTTACATTCATTGGTTCCTTGCAGAAAAATCTACAGTGAAATCTGAAGTAGCAATGCTCCAAACAAAATCCTGTAGTTGTAGGTTTCTAATGACAGTGCAATAATAGGACTGTCATGCGTTTACAGGGCATGTGCATTCACTTTCAAGACCTCGGGAAAAAGCATAAGTTCTGGATTCACACTGACTTGTGAAAGCACAGAGAGAGATTTGAAGAGTAATAACATATCAAGAGATATTAAGAAAATTTTGTTATCTTGTGGGTGGAACTGAACCAGAATTATCATTCCACTTCTTCCTGAATGTAGTAAAGTAATAAAGTATTCCATTCCATTTCTTTCTCAATGTAGAAAAGATTCTTGATATTAATTTCAAAGCCTTGAAATGTGTTTTCTGTGAAAATTAGCTCGAAATACTGCATTTCAGAAACACTCAAATATCATTTTCCCAAAAACAGTTCATATTTTCATCAAACCTTTAGTATGGATAATGCTAAATGCACAGTATACGTCCTTTCTTTTTTCTTTTTTTTAATTTCTTTTTAATGCAAACGTACCATCTTTGAAATATCTCTCACGCCCTTAATATGCACATTTCCAGCAATTTGTAATTATTGCATTTATGAGTGGAAGTTCTTCAAATGACTACCAAAGAAGGTTTTCGAAAACTAATGTTTACTGTTGAAAAGAGTACTTGAAATTTTCGAAAACTCTAAAGTTCACAGTAATGCACGATCGTAGTTTTCTTAAAAAGTCTCCAAATTTTTCACAGAAAATTTTCATATAGGATGAGGTATTACTTTTCTATATGATGTTTAATGTAATATATCTTATCTGTTATCAGATTTTTTTCAAACAAATGTCCTTTGGGCGGCGATAGAAGTCAGCAGGTCAGTATCCGGAACGAGCAAGACATAAGCTAGCCCAGACCTAAAAAGTTAGAAAACTATCTGGTACAATAAAGGGATATTCTGTAGCACCACTAGTTGAAACATTATTGTAATATCAGACCATTTCTGCAGAATAATACATTGCAATTCAACCTAACCAAGACTATACACTTGTAATAGATCTATTAGAAGGTAATGTGTTGGCAAAGATTATGAAAAAGGGAATATTAGGCGGGGAGGAGGTAATATATCTGAGAAGGATGTGGAGCATGAATTTTCACATTTGCAAGAATAATGTTATTGCAGCACTAGAGAAATATGGGACCCCACGTCATAAGTATCCTAAAATAAAATCATAAAATTGGCATTTGGCAGATTAGTGGATCAAAGGTCTCAAACTTTCTTCCACTTAAGAACACTATACTAACATTTATCTCAACATTTTGTGATTTTATAAAGACTGGTTTAATGGTTAGAGTAAGTTTGAAGTAGACTAAGTTCAGTGTGAAGTAGTAAATAGTTGGTGTTATATTTTTTGGGAAAGGAAAATGGACATAGAAAATTCTTCCAGATTTCAAAACACCTTTTTTAAAGAAAGAAATGAGAAATTAATGTTTCTTCTTTTCTCAAAGATAAATTAAAATTATATATTAATAAACCTTTTGATCATAACTTTTATAACAAAATCTTTAAGGTAAATTAACACTACAGAATGTGTTTTCGAAATAGCGATTCATAAAATATTGATAATGAAATAAATGGGCCACAACCAAATACAAAACCCTTACATGAGCATAATTATTTCTTTCTTTAAAATATTAATAAATCCCAGGAACTCCCACATAATATATTCTTTCTCCTTAGAAACCTTTTTGCAGAAGACAACTAGACAATTCATAATTGTAAACAATCAATGTGTGTTATTCAAATATGATTTCCATTACTACTCTACGTAAAAAAAGCAATGACCATGTGAGGCTGAGAACATTAAAACATGTTCAGTGACATTTTGTTGAAATCTTGAGATTAACATTTCACTTAAATTATTATCTTTCACGAGAAATTTCAT